ACTTGGCAGCCATCTAGTGGACTTTAATATCCCTACAGCCTTGTTGTGATTTTATCGAACCAGCCCCTTTTCTCTTTCAAAGCCTTGCACCTCACATTTTTTTTTATTAAGTATCAATGTATTTGTGAATAATTTACTTGCAGCTTCATCTCCTTTGGGAAAGCTGAGGTCTTGTGTGTGGATGTTTAAAGGTCTGGAAACATTTTCAAAGACAGTGTGAGTTGTTGAAACCGACAAAAGGGGGCCTATTTGCTCTCTGAGGGGTTTGTCTGGGCAGCAAAATCAAAACAGTTCGAGCACCAAAAAGAACAGCATTTTGCACAAAAGGTCAAGCAGAGAATTGTTCGCTTCCCATTATCTTGGTTGGTCATGGAAGGAGTGTGTGAACAAACTGCCAACCAACACATCATGACAGTATAACCACACAGCTTTACACTGCAGCAGTCACGTTTGTGATTAAAAGGAACAGCTTGATCCCGAAACCATTCCAATTTGGGTGCTAAGATTCTGCAGCGACTCAAAAATATCGTTGTTCCGCCACAGCTGCAGGAACCTAGGTGCTTTCTCAAAATTCTCTCCAACACATCACAAAGTTTCCCCCCAGTCAGCTTTATTTGCAGTATAGTGGAATGGAATACTGATTTAAGCTTGAATGGAAGTTGGAAATACTAAAACTGAGCTGAGGTGACGGCTGGAAATAGCACGAGGGTAGGAGACGTCCAGTCTGGATTACTGGACGAGTTTTCTGCTGTTGGAGACCAGGGGGAGGGGAGATGGAGATGGCAGGCCTGGCACGGGCTATCAGAATGCTTCAAGTAGTCTTCATTAAAGCAGGAAGATTGTAACTGATATTCTCCTTTTTCACCTTTCACTCTTCATAGCCCTGTATGGTGCACATCACTGACTCTGACCAGCAGTGTAGACACTAAGAAAAATCCCATGGAACAGTATTTACAGTAAAAACATAAATAATTCTGGTATATATATACCTACGTACCTTACTATACCTATACTATACTATATACCCCCCTATATATATATATAGATAATATATATAATATACTCTATAGTATAAAAAACGTACATTACAACTTGTGTTTATACTTTCCCTAAACACCACTCGGCTCTATTAGTTAAAATGAACTTTGTCTCTCCAACCAACAGTAATGCTGGGATTCTGGGAACTGTGCAACACCCGCAAGGTCTGCTGGGGTCAAGAAACATGAGTAGTCAGACAATCAGGACTCTAGTATGCACTAATGGCCGTAGCCAGCTACCAAGGTCTGGACTATTTCCTAAAATTATTTTTCAATATAAAACAGTTGGTGCTTTATAAGTGTATGATCAGGAGTCGAAAATGTCTCTATTCTTAAAGCCTCTGCTTGGCAGCTGAACAGCTCTGTGTACACTGTGACTTTTGTTTGTTTGTTGTTTAAATGAAGAAGTGTTATGTTAGCACATATTTTGAATGACCATATTCGGACAAATTCTGTTATAACTGATCTTATTAGCACTGCTATGTGCATCCAGAGTGCCAGGCTGATATAAAAGAATGTCTCTGCAAGTCCTTTATGCTGTACATTATATTAGATATAATAAGATATATTTATCAGATATTTACACAAATGTAGGTAAAGGTGAACACAAGCAGCAAATATCAATGTGTTATCAATCAGAATCAGAATCAGAATCAGAAATACTTTAATAATCCCTTACTTACATACTCCCTTGCTCTGGACAAAACAAGTTATTTTTTTAAACCCTGAATTTTAGACTATTATTATTACAATATTAATTAAACAACCCACACAGCTTGTTATTTTTCACATTTACAGTCAACATTAGCAAGAAACATGTCCTGAACTTCCTAAGAATTTATTTATATCTTAAATATGACAAAATATTGTTTCTAGAGCAGCAACAGTGACATAATAACATACTATTCCATTCCATTATCAGTCCTTCCTCCTGTCCTCAGATCCGTTGAAAACTAAGAAACACTTAGACTACAGAAAGACAGCTTTATTTTATTATTTATTATTAGATTAACACACTGTGCTGTGGTTGTAATAACAACTACATAGTGGATGACTTGAACATAAGATATAAGTTGCCAACAGACAATCTAGGCCACTGCTGGGGCCAGCCAGTGGCCTAAAATTGTGTCCAATACCTTCTTCCGTTCAGTTTTTCAGTTTGCTCCACAGCAAATTGTGAACCTTTGCATTTCTATTATATCTTTAGTCTTTTTAATCTTGTTCCTGTATTATTGTCTGTTGTATCCCCATTTTAGGAAATAATATATTGTTTGATAGGCTAGCTGCATCACATTAAAAAAAATCTATAGCATGCATACACTGAAAGTAACATTAGATTATAGTTGACGCCTGTTGAAAATGGCAGGTACGGCTTTTGATCCCTTGAGATGGTACCATGGCAGTAGAAGCCTATTTTCTTCTCTATAAGACGAATATGAGTATCCAAACTCCTGAGACATATTCTCTGCAGACCTCAGTAAACACAAGTTTGCTCCTCTAACTTTCAGACAACTTGCGGTGTCCTTGTGATGCTGCTGTACATTGCTCTCCTACCCACTGTTTCTCACTACAGCATGAAATTACAATCAGTGTACGCTCGCTCCCCTGGGCTGCCTCTGCTTACTGGTGCAGGATTCAGCTTTATGGTACAGAGGGTGATGCTGTTAATTGGTAACATGCTCAAGAAACGACCACAGGACAACATTCATTAGCTTTCTTTCACTTTTTAGTGTTGCATATACTGTAGCACTAACATCTACACACCATACCCCGCAACATGTTAGAATGAACCACTATTTACGACAAAATACGATTAAATACTACTAATTTGCTTTTATGAATATATTTTGGAGGAAATATAATTCCAAATTGGAACTCACTGGCAATGGCTACATTCTTTGACAGAAGTCATACAGAGTGGATACTTGTACTTAAAAAAATACAGGACTTTTACTCTGGAGACCAGAGTTCATGTCCAGGTATGTACTGTAGCTACCAAAAAGGACCCATATACAATTAACAATATGTTAATTCATATTTTAATTAATATTAATATTTAATTGTTTTATCTCTGTTTTATTTATTGTTGTTTTATGTTATTTAATGCTGATTGCTTGGTCTATATATTGCTATCATTCTTTTTGTTTTTATGATTACCACCTGTTTATATTTGTTGTTTTTACTCTGAAAAGCACTTTGTAAACACGATTTGAAAGGGACTATATACATTCAATAAAACATTTAGTGATTATAATTATGATTATGATTATTATGATCAAATATAAGATTCAACCTGTTTCTCCACTGCAATAATTTTCATACTGTCTGTTGAGGCTAGCGGGAAATACTCAATAAATATTTGTGAAAACCAAACAAAGTCATATAATTTGAATTTATTATTATTTATTTGAAAGTTATAACTATCAGTTACTAGCTATTAATAGCTTTAAAGTGATCTTCTCAAGGCCTTCCTCAGTAATATAATATCTACATCATCAGTAAAATAACACCAATATCTTAATCAGCTAGAACCACCACTTACAACATCAAACTAAGTGTTGAGGACCCTCCTATACAGAGCCCAACATATTATCAGAGAAGGACAGAGAGAGAGAGAGAGAGAGAGAGAGAGAAAGGTGCACCAGCCTCCACAAATGTTATGCGGCTTTTTAGCACCTTGTATTTTTTTTGCTGAACCTTTAAGAGACACTTTATCCAAAAATAAAAGCAGCTGTTCCCACTTGGATTAAATTGTAAAAGTTAAATAATAAAATACATAGATTCTTCTTGATTTTCCAGAATAGAAAGTCCTTATAATCATTTAGATCCATCAGAATAATACAAGCCTGCAGACACCCACCACATACACATTAGACACAGCTATTAAAAGAAGCCACATACATGATCAGCCATAACATTATGACCACCTGGGCACCCTGGTGTTCTACATTAGTTAGCCTTGGCCACCCATGACCCTCTCTCCGTTTCACTGCTTTTCCTTCCTTGAACCGATTTGATAGATACTGACCACTGCAGACCTGGTGTAATTGACCATAATAGATTCATTGACTGGTCACTGCAAGTCTCTACAGCTTCTACCTGTGTCGGTTTAATGTTTTGTTAAAATATATCAAGTGTTCTGTTCGCTTCGCAAGGGGGTCCAAAGTCCTTCCCGATTTTAAGGGTTGTAAGAAAACTATTTTTAGAAATATACAGTAGGCCTACAACTCAGCAATTCATTAATTTCTGTGGAGAAAGTAAATGAAAAAAAAATGTTATTTTGATATAAATTCTGATTATTATATAAGTAACATCTCACAGGATAAGGGCACGGTGAAAACCTGAACATTTAATTATTTTTTTTTATGAAAAAAATCCATAATACAGACAAAATTGTATGAAACGTTCTTAATCAGGAAAACTCATGGCTGATGCACACAGAAAATAATCTGCTCAAAATTCATCCAAATGGCTCGTTTTGCACAAACGTCCTGCAGTTATTGTGTTCACTGTTTGGGTTCATTGTACAGTTAATCAGTTGTTATGTACCGTTATTGAATATAGTATGAAATATCCATAAAATATGTCACTTAGTCAGTTTACTCAATGATAATAAAAGGGGTCCCTTAAGGAAAAAGGGAACAGCTGTTCTAATGTGCATTCCAGTAAGCTCAGGTGGCTGATTCATAAGGTGATGGAATATATTGTATGATTGGTCAAAATCTTCATTGAACAACTTTACTACTCTTCTGATATGGTCATTTCCCTTTGGTGCTCAGAACCATAAAAATATATATCATGTTTTAGTTGCCAGGAGTATTGGCAAACAAACAGTATATACATTCAAACATTTTAATTGTTCATTTAATGATTATTCTCTTGATCAATCTAGAGAGACAGATTTACCTCAACTTATCTTTATTCATTCCAGACTGTAATCTGTTCACTGTTTCATTTTCATAGTGCCTGGAGCCCTGTAAAGATTCCTGGGAGATGAAGAGGAAAAGCAATTGTAGGGAGCTGTGTGAGGTACACTGCAGCACATACTGTAGTCACATTTTCTGTGTGAGAGGATCAAAAACATGAAATATGAAACACTGTATTTACAAAGTAGAGCTGGATCAGAAGGCTACAGGTGATGGAGGTCTGATCCAAACACCTTAATATTAATGAATCACAGGGGTTTAAGTTAGACACTCTGTACTGTGTACTGTTAATAGTTTAGATTCATGGAAAGTAATCAGACTTTTAGCAGTCTGAAGTCAGTTAAGAAGTGAAATTGGAAGAAAACTAATGACAGTTTATTTTAACCAGATATATTTAACATATCCCAAACTATCAGTGTGTGATCGTTCACTTTTAATGTAATGAAGATAATAGTAATATAATTGAATAATTATATAATATTATATAATAATTATGATAAAAAACAAAACAAACAAACAAAATTAATGCATTATATTAGAAGCCCTGAAAGCAAAAGTAGTCCACAGTAGAATTAGAAACAGGGAAATGTAAAATAAGGTAACTGATCTCCCTCCAACCCATCTAGCGGGTGTTCCCCAAGAAGCACTGGGAGTGTGTGACCAGCTGTGAGTTCCTTCAGTCAGTGCTGGCAGTGAAGCAGGGCAGCTGTCCACCTCCAGAGAGAGCCAGTGGCTTCGCAGCGGCCTGTGTGGAGAGCTGCGACCATGACCAAGAGTGCTCCACTCAGAAGAAATGCTGTTCCAATGGCTGTGGCCACACCTGCCAGTCTCCCAAAGACCTCTACAAGGGTAAGGAGAGCCCAACAGAAACATGTTTATTTAGCATATCATTGATCAAGTCGGAAGAGAACTAATTTAAGTTCTGCTCCAGTCAGTGTTTCTTCTTCTTCCTACAGTTAGATGTTTAAGCTTCTCTGTGCAGAATGATGTATGTGCAGAGTTTGACACTTTTCATATTCATAGATTCTGAAATTTGTTAATGAGGTAGAATATACATGCCTTTTACATGATTTTAACATAGAAATTATACATTTTTGCATGAGACACACATTATTGTTGCAAGCAGATTATTTGTATATGTCGTAATACACTTCTGGAGGGATTCCAGTACTGGAGTGATCCTGCAGCTGCAGCACTTTATGGTTGAAGTTGGTTAGATTTAGTCACAAAAACTGGTTCAGGTTTGTAATAGATCAGGGTTTGTATTTAAAAAAATGACTTTATAAAGGTTATGGAAAGATCAGGTTCAACAGCACAAGGAAAATCATCTGGGTGGAAACACACATGGTTGTGACCTGCAATTTCGATGACCAATGGTGCAAACCAGGCGCAGCCAGGAAGAGGGGGAAGAGAAGCTAAATGCATTATTAGCAGGAATACAGAATCAACAGGTGGAGTCAGGTTTCAGTAGTGACCAATCACAGACAGATACGGTGAACCCATGGAGATCTTTGAGAGAGAGAGAGAGAGAATGAGAAATTTTCATCCTCATGAGGCACCTGAAATTCCAAAATAAAAACACCCCAAATATTTATATACATTGCCCTAAATTTGCTGTCAATTGCAGAATGAAAGAAAGCAGATGAAGCAGCTGCTGGCAAATAGTTATAATACTGAAAATAATAAAGGCTGATTCCTACATTAAAAATCCATGATCCATGAAGTCCAATAAACATAATTAAATTCCCATTCAAAATATCAGTCCTCGTCTATCCAATGGAAAAAGTAAAGTTGATGAATACACTTCCTTGAGCAAAATAAGGCCACTACTGCAAATATTCTGAGTTGTGAAATAAAATAAAATAATAAAATGTAACTACATTAAATAATACAATATAATCGTAACACTTTAGGTGCTTGTAATAAGTGGTAGTTAATAGGTAATAATGGCCTTATAAGATGCTTATTAACATTAGTACACAAGTAGAGTACACAATTAAGGATTTATTAACCTTTATAAGCATGTTCCCAATTTCAACCTGCTACCCCCAAAAAGTAAAATATAAAGTAATTTTAAGTAAAATAAATGCATAATAAAGTCTGTAGAAATGTTAATAAAACAACAACAAAAGCTTAGTAAAGATGTGACAATTAAAGATAGAAGCTACTTAAACTCAATAAATGTATTTGTACTGATATAAACTCATGCAGCTATTATTAACGTTCTTAAGCAGTCTATGCTATAGGACTCAGGCTGAGGACGCAGCTGAGGATGACTGCATTATTTTGAAACAAGTTCACTGTTAACTTTGGAATCGTGAGCAACAGCGTAACTGACTGTGTTCTGAAAAACACAGAACATTAATTATGATTGAGTCCTGCCTGATCCTGCTGCCATGTTGGGAGAGTGACATAAAGTTACTGCTGCTGTGACTAATGTAATATTACACACAGCCCATCACTCAAATCAGAGGCTTCAGCTGAAATAGACGCATCATTACTGCTGATCAATACATTCATAAAGCTACATTTATTTTCAGATAAATGCTGTGTTATTATTGTTGTTATTAAGCATTACTTACTGTGTACTTAAACTGTCAAAAACTTCTTGTCAACCTAAAAAATATGTCATCCCAGACCCCCTTGGGCCCTTACTCAGATAAATAAGGTAATTCCAGGTGGAAAATCTCCTGCTAACAAACAGTGTGTGGCTGTGCTGCTGTGAGTCTGAGTCAGGTGGAGCTTGCCCTACTTAGGCCCCCATTGTCGGAGGAGGGATCAAAGAGAGCTGAGGAGAAACAGATCCTGTGAGCTTGCAGCAGTATGTTCAGGCCTCACTGATGGCGACACACATGATGGGAGAGGAATGATGTGGGGAAACTCATTTTGCCTTTTCGCACTGTGGCACTGAGCAAAGCTGTAAATCCCTGCTGCCCCGGGGGATGCTGACTGACCTGACTAAGAACTTGATGTCTTCTCTGCTGAGACACAGCCAATATGTCCTGAGAATTACAGTAGATGGTGGTGTCTGCGAGGGATATAGGAAAAAGACTAAATTTAATCATAAGAGTTTGACAAATATATCAGTTTGCTGACACAAGACACCCAATACACCTATAAACTACTACAATCATATCATTATATCTGATTTGATAGTTAAGAAAATACTTAATGCTCACATCCCCTCAGTTTTACTCTGTTCCACTTATTGTGGATGTACATTTCATGGCTTAACAACATGATAATATTGGTCTCTCAGGTGCTCCCCTGAAGCCAAGAAAGGAGTTGGGCTTTGAAGAGCTCTCCTCTGGCCAGCTGGAGGTGCGTTGGTCCTCCCGCTTTAACATCTCGGCTGAGCCTGTAGTCTACATCCTGCAGAGGAGGTGGAACTTTGGCATCCAGCCCAGCGAGGACACTGCCACCTCCTGGCAGCTGGTTGCACAGGTTAGTTCACTACACCCAGTGTATGATTATAGGCATAATCAGATGTGTGTACTCCCAACTGCACTCATTGTATTGTTGTTCCTGCTAACTCTCCAGACTAGAAATAATCTGTGTGCCAGTCCTGATTTATAACTCCCTGTTTTTTTTCTCTTCAAGACCTTTAGCTCCTACAGTATCTGTGAAAACTAGTTCAGAAGACTTCTGAATCTCTGAGACTGGGCAGTGGTGCCTGAATGAGTTTTGAAATGGGGGGGTTTGTGCATCCAGCTTTGGATGATGTAATGAATATTTTAATGTCAGCTTGTACAGTCACAATAGGTAATTTTATACAGTGAGGTCAAGTTTAAAAAAAAAAATTCTCACTACAATGACTACTATGGCGACAAACAAGATGTTGATGAAGAAGGTGATGGTACCCATAGAAGCAATTTACATTCAGAAATCTTGAGATCAAAGGTCAAGGGATCCCTTCAAAAATAGCCATACCAGTTTTTCCACTGCCAAAATTTAGCCTAACACTGAATAGTTATTTAGCCCCTTCCTGTAATGCTAGCATGACATGATTGGTACCAATGAATGCCTTAGGTCTTATAGTTTCACATGATACCAGTATCTTCACATGCTTTTAAACTGAGCCCACTATAGCCTCTGAGAGACAGTAATGTCGGCCATGAACTTAATAGTAAGTACAGAATTGCACAGGTTACCATTACACCTGAAAGTGGGGGGCCGAAAAGTTGTCATTGTCCCTTCCATTCCGGCGCAAGTAAACTAGTTAAAAGTTACTGCTGACAGCTGTGAGCTTTAATGCCATTTAGCTCATAAAACTATTGCTTTGAATTAGTATTTTGATTAAGGGGGGAAGGTAGTTGTGTGGCACTGATGAACTGATCCCAGTCATCTGTGGGTGGAGTTAAAATCAACATTTACTCAACCATTAATGCCCTCTAGACCCATTATCCCACAATACATTGTTACACAATTGTAGGATTTACCTTTTTGCCAACTATAGCAAATATTTAACATATAACTCAATTATATGTTGTTGTCCTCAGTCTGTCTGTGCTGAACTTTCCACAATTCGATCCTTGGCTCTTGCCACTGCATGTCAAAGTGTCCTTGAGTAAGTGTGTGAATGTGTGTGAATCAATAAGTTTCTGTTCTGATGAGCCTTTGTCATTAGTGTATGAATGTGTGTGAATGGGTGAATGTGGCATGTACTGTAAAGTGCTTTGAGTGGTTAAAAGAATGGTGCCATTTAAGTACAGTCCATTTAACATTTGCTGTTTTCTGTCACCTGTCACTATCTTGCTATCGCCAGTCTGCCCTAATGTACCTGCATGCATGTATATTTTATGTCTGTGCTTCTGCTTTTCATGTTTCAGTCAGTGTCTAAGTGCAGCACTGTTGTCTTATTTAGTCCATATTACTACTAACACATTATAAGCCTCTGTGTTGAATGTTTAAAGTAGTACCTGAGAATGTGAATGAGGCAGTAGGTGAAATACACAATAACAACAATAAAAATATGAATGCAAGTTAGACATTATGATGTTCTGGACCTTTGCTTTAGGACATTTCCTCTAACTCCAAACTATAGCTTACAGAGTAAGTTACTTAAAAGAACCCGCTTGGTTGTTCACATTGGGTTTAATAAATTACCAAATTGCCTAGGGTATCTGGGTGTCCAGAATGATGCTTCTATTACATTAATTTTTTTTTATCATTGTTCAGCATGATTATGAATAATCATAATAACTTTGTTTTATCTTATTTTCTGTTTTTAAGTTGACTTTGTAACATCTGTCCTGACTACAGATGAAAAATAGCTTCTTGGCAAACTCTGGCACATTTGCAGCAATCTTTAATCAACTTGCACTGTCCCTGCTAAATAAAGCAACAACTAAATAAATAAATTTAAAAAATATGCAGTCAGTCTTATGCCCACCACTGGAATACCTATTATGTTTCAGATATATCCAAATAAATGCTCCTTTAAAATGTGATGGCGTGTTTTCTGACCATGAAAACACAGATGGCTTTTGATAGAAGACAAAACACTGACTCTGCTGCCAAAGGTCAGGTTGAACCCATAATTCCTGTATTCTCCAGTGCCTACGGCTGCTGCTTTAGAGTACATCCATGCTAAACAAACTTTTTGTGGCATAGTGTCATAACATTTATGAGAACACCTGCTGCAATTTTAGTGTTTAATTCTCTGCATACAGTGATGATGTTGTCATATACCTGTATATTTATGATCAGATGACTTTGCAACCATAAAAATCAGATTTGACCAATGTCTCAGCACAGCAGAAACAGAGAAGTATGTAAATTAAAACAACTAAAATGGGACTATATATCCCTTTGCTTGACACATGCTGACTGTGATACAGACTGGAAGAATAGGATGAAGGACGAGACATTTAACAGTTTTCCTGTTAAGACGTTTAAGCGTGGATTGCAAAAAACTTTAATAACAGTAACAAAATCAAAAGTACCAGCTGAATGTCACTATAAGGGGACACTGTGTGTTCCTGCAGTATGTGACTGTGACTGTGACATTATTATGCATATTATTCTTGTCTGAGACTTTATGTTCATATCTTGTCTTGCCTCTTCCAACAGACTACGGAGCAGGGAGCGAGGCTCTCTGACATCCGGCCAGGTCGCTGGTACCAGTTCAGAGTGGCGGCTGTCAACACCCATGGAACCAGAGGTTTCACCACACCCAGCAGACACATCCACTCCAGCAGAGGTTAGACACACATGTCACTATAACTGTGAAAGCAAGTATCCTTAAAAGCACAGATTGTACTGACAGAAAATGTCACCTTGACAGAGTAAAAAGTAACTGCTAGTGCTGCAAAATGTTTTTTCAGATTTTGGAAATTAGACTGAATGTAACAAAATGACAGAAGAGTCAAGCAAAGTGTCTAACAAGTACTGAAATGATCAACAGCACAAGTTTGGGGAAAACAGCTGTAAATTAAACAAAATGCTAGAGGAAATGACAGTACATCAAATTTAGCTAACTAATATCATAAATGTACGCCCAGTTCCTCCTGCACAAGGATATAATAATTAAATAGTTAAAGGTCTAGTGTGTAACATTTAGTAGGATCTATTGGCAGAAATGGAATATAACATTAATAGTTTTCAGTGTATAATCACCTGAAAATAAAAATTGTTGTGTTTTACCTTAGATTGAACCGTTTTCCACAGAAGGAGCAGGTCCTCTTCTATGGAGGCCACAATGTTTCTACAGTAGCCCAGAAGGGACAAACTAAACACATAGGGCCTTTCACGTTTTTTTGCACATTTCACAACCTCCGTTGTTTCTCAGTTGGTTGCAATCTGCAATTAAATGTGCCATTAAATCCTCCGCACTGGTAATTTGAAATTGTATTTATCTAAAAGATCATCTTAAAGATCATTTTTAAGATTAGGCAATGAAATGGCACACTGATTCTAATTATGGCACTTGGAAAAAGGAAAATAAAAACTTTCTCCCACACTTCTTTTGCCGCATCTAACTGAGGAAAGGCAACTTTCTTTGGAAATAGCCACACAGAACTCACATTTGTAGGTTTGTGGCATTTCCCCAAACCTGGGCACAAAATAGAAAATACACTTGATAGGAGTGTGGTTTTTAAGCTTTATAGCCCACTTGGACCCTTCACACACACACACAAACAGGCTAATTGTGGGTAGTGGGAGGGGGCAGGATTGGAATTGGGCCATTGTTTTAGTCAGAGACACTATCAAACAATTACACAGTTAAATTTAGTGGTAAAAGGCTTGTTGTTTGAGGGAGCTCTTGGTTGCCAAGGTTGCATGGGGAGCTCCGTTGGTAAATTCAGAAAAAGTTCAAACATAATCACCTCAGACACATTCGTGAGATAGCTGCCTTCTCTCACCTTGGAGGCGGTGCCCTCATGTTTCCCACTGTGGGTTAGGGTTAGGCTATGGTGAGGTATCGAGGTGATAACTGAATTAGATTAGGGTTAGGCTTGTGTTCATGTTTAGAAACAGGAAAGTCAGAAAGCACGTTTAGTTCTACTTTTGTTAGCAAATGTCATCTATTTCATTCTGGCAAATCATACAGAGGTGGTCCTTACTAATAATTTATTTTTGGTACTACTAGCACTACTAGTAACAGTACTATGTAACTAGGTGTGTTCTAGATCCAGATTTTATTATTTTCATTTTTTGGCAATTTTAGTTTGTAAACTGTTGACAAAGCCAAAATCAAATAATGCTGTATAACTGCACACATAATAATAAAAATAAATCACTGTCTAGGGGTGTAGGGTTTGGTTGAATTACTAACATATACTATTTATCTCAGCATTAGTGTGTAATATTACGCTGTGACTGCATGTGGATGAATATTAACAACGTCCCTTCACCCTCAGACCCCCCCAATCCTCCAGCTCCCAGTGAGCTGAGAGTGGCCAATATGAGCTTTGGCCCTGGCAGGGTGGTGTCTGCCAGGCTCCAGTGGAGCATGCCTGCCGACCTGGATGTTCCCGTTCACCACTACAAGGTCAGCTGGAGCTGGAAAGCAGTCGGACAGCCCTCTGCTTCATCCCTGACCAAGAGAAGGAAGATTGTGAGAGAGGTAAGGACTGAGAGATACTATAGCACTCTGGAAATGTTCTAAGGTTACTTGTTACTGCTAGCTTTCATCCTATTCTGTCTTCTAACAGCATGTGAGTGACAGGTCCTATAGACTAGGCTACATATGACCAAATTCACCTCCTGCTTAAGTTATATTCTGTAACAAGTCAAGGAGTGCAGTAAAAGTGTTTTTTTCAAACTTTTAAGTTGAAATTCCTCTGGCAGGATAGATAAAATGAATAGATAAAAATGAAACACTCAGCATCATATTTAATAAGCCCACTGCAAAGCTGCAGTTGTTTAAATGCACTACTGCTATTTAAATATGTGGGATTTAGTGATACCTGTATAGTTACAGATTACAACCCTTTCGTTAAAAGAATGTTGAAGGAATTAAAGTGACCACAAAACTCACAAAAGGCCCTATCTAGAGCAACTGTGTGGTTAGTCCTGTCTGAGTTACTATAGAAACCGGTTCAACCATAGACAATAATAAGAACAAAAATGGCTCTGGCTGTCGCCATCTTGGCAGTCCAGACTCCGCCGGAATAGGAGTATTTTTCTAAGGAACCTGTTAGCCCCAGGCTAAAGGCCTTTTCACATTGCATATTCTTAGCCTGATACACTACACTTAGCACAGGGCTAGAACTTTCTTGGCCCCAGGCTAAGAAAGCTTTCCCACTGGCACAATCATGGCATGTTCTAACTCCGACGTTAGCCTAGGGCTTGCTGGCCCTGTTTCAGAACAATGTTAGCCCTGAGTTTGTGGGGTTATTCCCTGAAACTTGACTAGTTGCCAGACTAAAAGTTACTAGTGTTCCGTCGGACATTTAACCCAGGGCTAGTAGCAGTGGAGTGTCAATCTTAAAGCCCCCGGATTAGCTTTATAACCCTTATAACCCGTGGGTTAAAAGTGTGAATGTGAAAAGTGGTTATGTTATTCTGGGGTTAGCCTTAGCCTTGGGCTTAGAATATGCAGAGTGAAAAGCCCTTAGTGAACCAACAAGCGCAAATGTGACATTTAAAAGATAAAATTAAAATTGTAACCAATGTAATCCCATAGATTTTGCAGATATGTATAAAACTCCTATGTATCTTTGTTGAAAGACGTTGTGGTGAAGAGGGAAAGATCTTCATGGGTCAGTATAATTCTTCTTGATTCCTGTTGTAGTCACACAGTAGCATGTTCAGCCTCTGAGATCTGACATCAAGGAATAGTGGGGGTAGGGAGCCACATGGATTTGTTGAGAATTCAGACTGGCACATGGCCTTTAGCCTGCCTTTAATGGGATGCTATTTTCAGGGCTTGTGGAAAAGCTGCAAGAAAAATAAAATGAGGCCAGACATGAAATTATTTCTCCTTTCTGTTAGCAAAAGTAGAGATTATTTTACAGACATTTATTTTATGAAACTCTCATTGTTCTTGTGTTTTGTCAACTTTCCTGTGTGTGTGTTTGTGTGTGTGTGTTTGTGTGCAGAGCCAGGTGGAGCTAGACAGCATGCGGTCTAACAGGAGCTACAGTGTGGAGGTCCAGGCTGTGTCCTACTGGGGACAAACTCAGCTCAAAGGACCCAGAGCCATCCTCCACTTCACCACACAGCACAGTATGTCTTTATACTCAAAATGAGATTTAGAATTTCCGCCTGATAACCTCAATGTGCAAGAAGATAAAATCTTGATCTTCATGTCTGCTGCAAGGCTTAATGCTTCTTTCCTAAAGTTTCTTTACAACAGCATGTGGAAGTGGTAAGAATTCCTGCACTGAATGTTTCCTCTTGGTCTTGAAAATTCATTTGTATGATCTTTGAATTAGATTTTACACTTTCCTGGTTTAGCTTTTAAAAAAAAGTTCCTTTGGGGCTTAAATATCTAAAACTTTCTCCTGCTGTTAAATCTCTGATCCTCCGTATCTCCACCAAGACACAACCTTAGCATTCCACACCCACAAACCTCTCAGAAAAATCTTCAAAATATCAAGGTGTTCACAGTGACAGGCCAAGATCATGAATAAGAAAAAAAAAATGAATATACCTAACAATTAAAGAAATTATTGTTAAAGAAATTAATTATGTAATACTGGAAATGTTTTGGTGCCCACTTCTCTACTTCTCTCTACTACTCTGCTGAGCAGGTACTGAAAGAAAAGACAGGAATATTCAAGGTGAAAAAGTTTATTCTATATTAGCTAAGTCTGCTGTAGCATAGGCCAGTTGTACCAGTGAGGTTTTAATTATATTTTGTCTGTTTTGAAGCAACCAGAGCTGCTCCAAGAACCCCTACAGGTGATATTCTGGATGTGGGGACACCATTCTACCAGGATGGACAGCTCCGTGTTCATGTTTACTGGCAGAGCAGCATGGGTATGTATGTACAGTCTGAACTTATGTGAGTGTCTGCCATCGAGATAAATAAGACAAACAATTTGTCTTCCTCTGACACATACTGTAAAGCACCTAGCTGTCAGTTCCATAGACAGTTTTATTCCACAGCTTATGAGGACTGACCATCTGTAATTATGCTGCAGCTCTTTGTTTAAGGGTGACACAGTAAGATGTACAGTGTCTGCAAACCTTCTGCATGTATGGACATAAACTGAGCTGTCATTCTTTTGTTGTTAGTCTGTTCACATTTGCCCAAACTTCAGCCACAGAAAAGCTTGGGACCTCCGTAGGGTTTAATATTGGGTTGAGCTGGTACTTGTCCCACCTACTTTCAGCATAAACACCACCTATGACCTGTTTAAGCAACCCTCCCCAATTCAGATTACAGATACAAATTTAGATAATTTAGTTGTTTGAACAGATACAGTTAATTATTTACTTGCCCATCACTAGTTAAACAAAATCTGTGCTGGACAATGTTTTGGGTTTAAATGTGTGGTGTTAACCAAGTGGGGCTATTGGTTTAAATCTGTGACTTGAAGAATATTTTTCTTCAGTTCCATGCATGTCAGCCTTGTCTTTGGATTGGGTGTTGCTGGAAAACAACACCTGGATAATCTTAGTTAGGGTTACATCAAGGTTAAAAAGGTAAAAAATCAGTTTTGTTTCTGGAACAGACATAAGAAACAGTCAAACAGTCAACAGTTTGTGGAGAAATATGTTTTCCAGTGGCAGAAAGAGAGGATCGATCAATTTCATCTGTGTGTGTTGAGGCCTGGGGTGTATTTAGCCTAGACAAACAAATATTCTAGAGGTCACAATGTGTGTGAGTTTCTCTTTTAATGGAGCTACATGTCCAACACCCCTCTCTGTGAGACATTGAAATGTATTGACTTTATTTTCTGACTCTGGATAAGATGGGAACAAAACATCATTTTGAAACTGCCAGAGTTCTCTTTAAGTAGATCCAACTATTGTTGTAGACCTGTTGTCACAGGACAGCGTTGAAAACTGTTTTTTGTGGTTTGTACAGATCCGTCAGTTGAATTCTACAGAATCCAGTGGGGACCAGAGTATTGTGGACACAACCAGACCAGACCCATGGAGAAGACCAGCACCCAGGTAACCTATTTAAAACATTATCAGTGTGACTATGAATGTCACATTTGTAAATGTTGTTAGTGATTGGCCACAAGATAGTATGTATTGTTGATGGGCGAACATGGTCCTTGTAAGATATAATATATAATATAATATTTATTTCTGTAAGAAATAAATTTGCCTTTTTGCCATGAGCAGTGTTGGGATTAATTCCACTATTTTTGGTGGTAAACAATAATACTG